TGATAATATATTCTTAACTCTTAAATCAACATCATTTCCTGGATTTGAAAATATTTAGAAGATACTAGGGACACTTCCTGTTAATTTTTGTGAGTATGAGTGGAGTTTTTCTGTTATGTGTTGGTTAAAAGACTATACAAGAAAAACAATGTCAGAAGATCCACTTAACGGTTTGGAATTAATGTATATCCATCAAAAAATTGTTCTTTATATTGATGTTATTAACAGATTTTCTATAAAAAAAATGACTTTAACGATTAGTGTTTATGCTGCTTATTCTAACACACACCAAGGACTTTAGAAATTCTTGTCCTTTATTACTGCTCTTCATGTAACAGCGAACAAATAGGCCTGAAAATCTCTGCAAAGTCCAGGATATCAATGGTGTCCTTAACAACACGGGTTATATGTAATCCCATTATTTTGTTTGGGATTAGCTATATGATTAGTGGTCATAGTTCAGGCAAATACTAACCTTCTCTTTCTGACATTGACAATCTCTTTCTATCATTTTCTGATTTCGTAACAAAATTAAAAAAAAAAAAAAAAAAAATTTAAATAAACTTTTTCTCAATCAACCTAATAATATTCTTTAGTTTTTGTCCCATTTAAACCAGTTTTTTACTGCAGTTGTTTTCAAAAACTGTTTCATTTGATCAAATATGATCTTCTTTCTTGTTGTTTAAAGTTAACTTGATTTAATTTTTGAAAATCTTGTAATATAAAAATATATAACCCTTTATTTAACTATGTATATAAATCTATTTGTATTTGTGTCACTCTCTTTTCTCTTTTTAATTTATTTTTTTGCGATTGTCCATGTCTGGAATGAAATATGTTCCTAGACATGCTGATGAGCCCTGATATTGAGCGAAACAATCATTTGTTGTTTTATATATTTATTATTCTAATTTGTTAAGCCAAAATGGTAGAAAAGAATCTACAAAATTTGAGAACAAAGAATCTTAAAAAAAAAAATCCCTTTTAATAAGAAACGCTTTTTATTGAAAAAAGTAAAACTAAGATATGAGCTTCTCATTGCAATAGAAAGAAAATCCCTTAAAATCCCCCAACCCAAGGGCAGGAAGATTTAAAGGGAATCATAGAAGAAGGAAGGGGGGTATTGGAGTGATTCCCTTAGATATTTTTTTATTGTTGAGATATTGAGCACATTGTTTAAAGTCAATTTGGGAAGCTTTTTCGAAGTGGCATGAAATTCGGATAAAATTCTGTAGTGCGAATTCTATTTTTTGGGCTTGCCTGCTTAAAAAATCATTAAATCTGTAAATCGCCTCACCTTAATAGATCAATCAAATTGAAAAATCTCTCCCTCTTTCCTCCTTTACTCCATGGTCCGATTCCACCCTTACTTACCAACCCCTTCGTTTTTTTTATTTGCCTTGTGGGCGTAGTTGCGTCACTTACAACATGGCGTACCGTGTTTTTTTTTTTGACGGTGTAAATAAAAAACCTGTGTCAGCCCCTGCTTTGCTGATTTAATAGATTTTACTTACAAAATCCGATCTTTAAATCCATTTAGTGTTGGGACATCCACTACGTGTTGTGTGAGAGAATTCCAATGTAATGAAACCTCTCCTCGCATCCTCGTACAATCTGACGCTCGAACTGTTTTTCATGGCTGCGCAAATTATATACACCACACCCAATCAGTTGCTGTTGTGGGACTAAAAAATTTATTTAGTCGATGTTGTTGAGTATTTTGAAATGCTCCTTTTAAGTGGCGACTCGGTCTTGAACATGCTCAAGTAACTTAATGTCTGTATCCATGATACGGGAAAAGCTTGAAAGACAAAGTCAAGATGTGGCCGAACAATTAAATTTGAATATTAAAAAAACAAATTTAATATTAAAAAAAACAATTAAATTAAAAGAAAAATTTTAAATCAAAAAACGTTTTACTAATTTCATTTTGCATAGTTATGCAACAACGAAAAATGTTTTTTATTATTATTATTATAAGGGTAGATTAGGGTAATATGAGCACCTTGGTAATATTATGCATACCAAGAGATTTTTAAGATGTAAGCAGTTAAGTTAAAGTTGCTTTGAATTTTCAGAATCGCTTTACAAATTTGTCTAGTCCTTTGATGCATATTTTTGCATTTCTTAAAAAATATGAGATTAGGGTAATATGAGCACCTTGGTAATATGAGCATACCAAGAGATCTTTAAGATATAAGCAGCGAAGTTAAAGTTTCTTTGAAGTTTCAGAATCGACTTTATGTCGTGATAACAGTAATCCGTATAGTTAGCGTATAGTTGGACTAAAAAAAATTTTGGACCATCGCTTTCTTTTTACTTTACTTAAAAATGAGTTTTTCGTATAAAAAAAAAAGGTTTTCGTCAATATTGCAACACATCCAACTTGTCCGTATCTCATCATGGGAAGAAGTCATCATTTTCATTAAAAGAAGCTCTGTCTGCCTTGTTCAAAAGATAAAGATAAAATAAGCATTCCACTAAATGCACAAAACTTGGATATAAAATGCATGAAAAATCCCTTTCTGCACAGTTAATAATAAAATTTTAATCTTAAAATTTTAATCTTAAATATATGAAGGGAATAAAACTTCAACAGCACATCCTAAAATCGAATTTTGTTGATTATAAAAAAGATATTTGTGTACAAGGGACGTATTTTCACTAAAACTAATGTAAAGTCTGTATAGTCATGTAGGTCTAATCACTTTTTCACCAAAACCATTTTTATGGAAATATGACCGGTATGCCATCATAGGCGCTATGCCAATATAGGCGCCTTTCCCGTACTTTAGTTGTAAAACGGATTCGGGGTGACTTGATTCAAATGTATAAGTTATTCAATGAAATTGAAAAAGTAAGTTTAATTAATAAAATTTTGCTAAGAAATTATCAATCAGCAAGAGGTCACTAAATGAAATATAATCGCGAAATAATCAGTTTTTTGCCTCGGCATTATTTTTTAACAAACAGAGCATCTTTTTACTGGAATCGACTACTTACTGATGTCGTTAATGCTATTTCTGTGAATTCTTTCAAAGCTAAACTTGACACATGGATTTTAAATAATGTAACTATGTTAAATAATGATATAGCTGTTTAAGTGTACTTGGTACATTCACCAAATTAAAAAAAAGCTCAAATGTATTACTATATTACTGAAATATTACCATTTTACAAAAAGAAGCGCTGCTCACAGTGCTTGTTAACTTTCTCGTAGTTTTTCTCGTAATTTATGCTGTATTTTTCAACCAATACTACCAGCTGGGCTAGTTGTGTGTGTGTGTGTGTGTGTGTGTGTGTGTGTGTGTGTGTGTGTGTGTGTGTGTGTGTGTGTGTGTATGTGATTTCTATGATAATTTAACAAGCAAATTAATTTATTATCATTTTACTGAATATTCAAATCAAATGTGTTTTCTAATGTCTTTTTTAGATAAGTTATTATAATCTAACTCAGCTAGTGCATTTATAGCATGTACCTTATATGAAAATGTTATAAAATGCATTTTTTATACATAAAAATCTTCGTATCTTTTTGAAAATTCTATATTCAATCTTTACACATAAAAAATATTTGTTTCATTAAAACACTCTACAAAGGTAATAGACAATATAATTTGTAAATCTAAAAAAGATTTTATTTTTTGTCATTTGTGATTATTTTCACCGTAGTTTAGAGAAGCAAAAGCTAGAAATAAGTTTAATGCAAGCTCAAAAAAAGGCTTACTTGGAAAACATCTACTTTTCGTTATTCCAAAAAAGTAATATACAAAAAAGTAATATATAACAACTTTGTATTGTTCTTTTTTAAAGAAAAAATGCGCGATTCTAAAATTGAAGAGCGTTGTTCTAAAAAGCGCCAAGCCACATTTTTGTTATTTTAAGGAAAAAAATATATATATATGTATATATATATATATATATATATATATATATATATATATATATATATATATATATATATATATATATATATATATATATATATATATATATATGTATATATATATATATATATATATATATATATATATATATATATATATATATATATATATATATATATATATATATATATATATATATATATATATATATATATATATATATAATAAACTAATTATCCAGTGAGCTATTTTTGAATATCAATAATTTTGTAATTGTAAATAAAGACGATGAACAATTTTTTTATTGATATTAACATAGTTAGATTTGTACCTTTTTTAATAAAGAGTTCGAACGTTGTAAAAACTTCTGAGAAAAGCACCTTTTAGAAAAACGCTCTTCAATTGATAAACTTGATTATAAAAATATGACTAATGTGTATTTTACGCCTGTGGGTCTCTACTATTTTATATTTTTGATTGAAATATTTAAAGAATACCCAAATGCTACAATGATAAAACGCAAATTTTTAAAAAAAAGAAGTGAATTTTAAAAAAGCATATAAGTTTATTACAATAAACCTTAGTGGTAAGAGAAATGAAAAATGAGAATGAAAGCTAGTAATTCATTTATTTACGTGTTAATAGTTTATTAAGTACTAAATTATGGTTTTGTGTAAGGATTATATTAACAATGAATATATCTAAAACAACGAAACTAATTTAACAAAATTAATATCCCCTATTTTTGAAATTTTGAAATATAACAAAAATTATTATAATTTTTTGAATGAAATAGATAATAACTGCTTAAATAATAAATATTATAAACCAGAAGAATTTAAGAGAGAAAAACGTAACAAAGATTTTAACATTTTAGCTATAAATATAATATAATATATATAATATAATATATATAATATAATATATATAATATAATATATATAATATAATATATATAATATAATATATATAATATAATATATATAATATATGTAATATAATATATATAATATAATATATATAATATAATATATATAATATATATATATAATATAAACGGTCCATGAACAAAATTTTGAATCATTTAAACATTTTTATTATTCTTTAAACTACCTTTTTGACGTCATATGTATATCAGAAACTTGGCAAGATGCAAATTCGCCCATGTCTAAAAATTCCCTATACAATTTATATTTATATAAAAGTCACCCACGAGTAATCAGCAAGGGAGGTGGCGTTGAAGTAAATAATCTTGATAAATTTGAATTTAAAAAGAAAAAATACATTTTCAAAAACTAATAAACATATTGTGAAACTTTGTGCATTAAAGTGTTAAATACTTCTGGTAAATCGTCTTTTATCTCTTCATTGTATCAACCGCCATTGGTAAACAAGTTAACTTCCTTAATATCTTTAAAAATTTCATGTCTCAAATGAGTAAACAAAATAAGCATATTTTCTTTGCAAGAGATACAAATATGGACGAATTATGTTATGAAATGTTTCCAAACATAAATAATTTTTTCAATTTTTTATTTGAATTTAATACAATACCCACCATATTTAAGCACACACGCATTCAGAGGCGGATCTAGGATTTTATATAGGTGTAGCTAAATTTGTGAAATTACGTCATAATTGCAATTATTTAATAAGTCGGTTAGTCTACGTCAAAAAGACGTCCGATAATTACGTCATGTAGACGCCGCCAGACAGTTTTTTTATCTGAGCGTCTTTAATTCACTTTTTGTACACATATATTTTACATTTACTTTTTAATGGATTATAGTAAAATAATTAATGGTAAAATATAAAATTTGCCTTGGCTATTCTGTTCGTAATTTAGACATTTTGTCTAACTTAACGAAGTGCACAAACTAGAACGTAAGCCATAGGACTTTGCACTCCATATGTAAGTTGTAATGCTGTCTAAAGTTAGCTCTCCAATTCTGGATTCTTTCCTTTATATTTTTGTTACTAATAGAATAAATGCAACTATAACTGCATTAACAATATGATATATTCAAATGATATTTACTTTAAAGTTGTATACTACTATGTATAACTATATATTAAAATAAAAGATTTGAACAGTCTCGCTATCTATAGGATCTTCAGGAAGCTAATTTATTACATCGTTGTTTTTTATGATTATCGAGCACTCTTTTTGTAGCATACTCTAACGAAATTAACACACATTTAAATTTTTTATTTAGTGGTTTACATTATTTATTTTAGAACAATTTTTAAAACATTTAACATTTTAGATGTCGAGGATTATGAAATCTACACAAAAATAGAAAATAAATTTATTTGTTAAACATTTATATCAAACAAAAAATAAGAGAAAATTAAACGATGAAAAAAACAAAAAAGATTGTAAATATAAAAGATATTAAATTATTTTATTCACATATAAATATAATAATTATTCAATCATAGACAATTATTTAAGGCTTAAAATAGCAACTTTAAACATTTCTCCCCAGAAGTTGAAAAAATTTTGTTAACCCTGTCTTTATCTGGAACTATTTCAGTATAAATTGACATTAAAACAAGGTCATTCAATGACTTAATTAACACTCAACTTCTTGAATAAGTTTTCAATCTCTTGGTACCTAGAATTAAATTTTTAAAATATTCAAGAATGTTGGAGGGGGGGGGGGGGGGAATTAGTCATTGTCATGACTATTGTTTAAAAATAGTAGACAATAGATAAATAATTTTTAGACAATAGTCATTGTCATGACTATTGTTTAAAAAATACTAGATGATTATATAAGCCTCTTTAGAAAGATCAATCAATCTTATTATATATAATAAAGATTGATTGATCTTTCTAAAGAGGCTTCCATAATCCAACTCTGCATGAATAAAGGTTGAATGCAGAGTTGGAATGATAGATATTTAGAAATTTCTGAAAGTAGATTTGCAAATATTAGTAAGTTTTCAGGTAACTTAACATGACAGTTGAAACTGCAAGCATCCCATATAAACCAACTTGCTTTCTGTTTGAAATCTTATATAATTAATAAGCTCATTAATAAGATGGTCCAGTAGAGGTAAAGAGATAGAAAGCTTAAAATAATCAGATGCTGAGAGATTATCATGATTGATTTGCTTTCCACATTTTCTAGTTTTTTGTTTTCTTTTACATTTAAAGTCATAGCTAATTCAAAAGCAATATTAGTGAACTTAGACCAGTTGTAGCTTGTAGACCAGTTGTAAATCAATACCAAATTAAATCTCTTGAAGCGTTTCCTTTTAATTGTCAATATCAAGATTCTGAAATTTGAGATATGTTGTGTTGCTTATCTTGGAGTCAATAACAATCTAAAAAATTCAATCCATCAAATTTTGGTTAAAGCTTACATTTTATTTAAAGTTACATTGAAATAAAATTCATACATCAACTATGAAGAAACTTTAGCTAAAAAAAAATGCCTAGACGTTTCTGTTTTTGAACCCAACAAGTAAAACAGACATTGATTAGCTTTAATAAATAATTATATTTCTGTTTACCAACAGAAATATAATTATTTAAACATGTCTGTAATTTTCGACTAAGGGCACATTTAAATAATTAAGGACAGTCAACAAACCTTAAGAAATGTTTACGAGTATTATAGTTATTGCCTATATATCTTATAACGATAGACTACTGTTTGAGATTGACACAATCAGATGCTTATCAGCTAAAATCAAATAGTATTTACTATTATTGATTTCAGAAATAAGAATCTTCTCAAAACCCTCATTACAACACTCTATTAGTTGATTTTATGTGGTTTAAAAAATAATGTGACATTTTTAGGGGCTGATATTAAATGATCTTATAAGATAGTGTCACCTGCATAAATTACAAAATTAAGTAGTTCGAAAATATTTCCTTCAACTCGCACTTCAGGACTCTCTTATATTAAAGTCTCCAATATTGTATTATATTTGATTCTACTCAACAATAGAATAAATTTATAAGATCCTCTTTAATTAAAGCTTAAATTTGAAGATTAAATTTTTTTTAGAAGAAATAAAAATGTAATATTTTAATTATTTACATTTATAGCAAATAACAATAAAAATTATTTATATAGGTCTGTGGCAAAACTATTATTTATAGTATTAACCTGTTTAATAAAATAATAATGTTTTAATTAAATGTTATGAGAATTTTTAAGCATTAAGCACAGAAACAGTTGTATCTAAGTAAACTAGTTACAGTTATAAAAAGCATGTTCTTTTTATTACAAATATAGTCTGTGAAAACAGTTTAAAAATATACCTTAAAGCTATAAAAGTTTTGTCAAAACCTTGATAAACATTTATAGCATTTTCAACTCAAAGTTTTACTATGAAATTAAACTGGTGAGTTATTTAAACCATTTCATAAACAATTTTTTTTGCAATATTTAATGGTATGAATGTGAATTATTAGCATTTGGAAGTTTTTTTTCAAAACATATCCGCCATAATTACAACTTACTAAGAAAATAATAAAGGCGCTTTGCTTATTTGAAAATAGCTGGGCATAAAAAGACTGGAAAATAAGCACAGCCACAAATCAAAAAGCAATCTAGCCACGAGTGTTGGCGGCATACAACTTTCCAATAAAATATATTACCTTAAAAAAAAACAATAATTTAGTCATCCTATGCCGTAAAATCGGTTTGTGGCATAGCCACAAACCGATATACAATGACCGATTTTTTTTTTAATTCCGTTTTTTTTAGCTTTAAGTAATCGCTTTTAAAGCCGAATTTACACAGCAAATAAAAACAAACTTATCTTAATTATTTATATTATTTTTACCTTATAAATATCTCGGAGTATTATATCGCTTTTTATTTCGTTGATTATTTTAAGGTATAGCCTTAGCCACAACGGCTATACCCTAGATCCGCGCCTGGCATTACAAACCGATCATCTTCTGCAATTGATAATATTTCAACAAACAGTTCCCTAAAAACTAAATTTGAATCAGGCCTCTTTATTGCTGACTTTTCTGATCATTTTCCGCTTTTCCTTTTAGCACGAAGTCCTATCTAATATTGACAATAAAAAATGCTTTGTGGCTTGCAGAAATCTTTCTATAAAAAAACTGAATAATTTTAAAAAACAAACTGCAAATAGAACGATAGAATAACGTTTATTCATCAACAGATTCTAATATTGCGTTTGATAATTTCTCAAGTACATTTCAAAATATCTTTGATAATATATGCCCAAAAATAACTACAGAAATAAAAAACAAAGGAAATAAGAATCCATGGGTGACAATAACTTTAATTAAAGCATCAAAAAAAAAAAAAAAGTTTAGGTAAAATTTTTGAAATCTAAAAATAAAGATGATGAAAAATCTACAAAAATTGTAAAAAGTTATTCAACATACTATAAAAGAAGCAAAAATAAGGTATTTTTCTAATCAACTTGATAAGTATAAATTCAGAGGACTTGGGCTGTTATAAACCAACTAACAGGAAGAGAAAAAAAGAGGCACACTTTATTACCACAAAAACTAATAATAAATTACCGATAAAAAAAATTATAACAAGCAAAACAAATATATGTCAAGAAGTTAACAAATATTTTGTTAATGTAGGCCCTTCTCATGCTTCTATCATTGTGCAACCAAATAAAAAAATTTGATATTTTTTTTGGGGAAAAACCAAACAGTGTTATAAATAATGAAAAGAAAACTAAACTTGAATTTAATAAAGCAATTATTGAACTTAAACGCAACAAGTCATGTGGGTATGATGGTATTTCCAGTAATGCAGTTATTTTTGTTATGGATAGTATTAGTAAACCATTATTTTATTTGATATCATCTTCATTTGAAAACAATATATGACAAACTTAAATAGCCAAAATTAATCCAATCCTCAAAAAGGTGATTGCAATAATGTTTCTAACTACCGACCTATTTCTCTACTTTCAGTATTTTTAAAAGTATTCGAGAGGTTAATTTATAATAGAGTTAATAATTACTTTACATTAAACAATTATAAAAAAAAAATCAGCTTGGATTTAAAGCAATTACTCTACTGAAAATGCTATTATTAAACTTGCTGACAAAATAAACGACTAATTTGTTTGATAGTGATGAACTAGTACTAGGAATTTTTATTGATCTTTCAAGGGCATTGATACAGTTGATCACAGTGTTTTACTTTCGAAGCTA